ACAGTAACTGAGAGGTTATGGAAGGCAGCAGTTTAGATTAGTCCATGGAAACTTGTAAGTAGAGTTTAAATGAGCAAGTTATAAGGTCTTTGATGTAATAATTACAGGGTAATATTACCCGTGAGTCCACAGTGCTTACGGTTCTTAAGTTCTTCATATAGCTTATCACTGATTTTCTGTATGCAGCTATTGCAGAGTATAAACTGGCAGGGGGTGGTGGATGTTTTCTTTTATTGGAATCCCTATCGTTTCAGTGAAGATATACAATGGGATAACAAGGTAAAGCATTTTTGACCATTATTTCCTCAGTTGCTGCAGTTGTGAATCAGAGCTCTCAGCAGCTGAGCTGAAATATGAACAAAGCTGCAGTTCAGAATCACTTCTGTCCTGTCTTTCCCTGGTATGACAGCTAATGACAGCTAACTAGGAAGTAATGCTGGGCTGAAAGGCACATACTGATGTTTCAGCTGGCAGTAGTCAAAAAGAAATGTTATCCTGTTTACTGCTTATTAGTTGAGCTAAAAACTGGAATTATTTAACTCAAAGTATATCAGTATGACATTTCTACTGTCACCTGTTAGGGTACCATGGCTGCTAATTTATATTATTATGGCATGTCTGCCAGCAAGACTCAGTAAAATGTAAAAAGTAAAATTCATTGCTGAAACAAAATATATTCATTGAACAGCTATGATGATGCAGAAGGAGAAAAAAGTTTCTAGTTCACTCTTCTGTTGTCAATGTTGGCTGTATAGGAGAGAGAACTGACAGAGGTATGGTTACCCCAGTATTTAAGTAAATACACACCAAAGAGGTGTGCTAAGCGAGTGTAAAGATTTTCATAACTGAGGCCTGAGATTTGTTTGCATTTGGGTCTGAAGTCTGTATTTGTTCCATTGGATAGCACACAAGCTGGATAGTGTTTTGCTCCTCTTAGCATTATAAAGTAAATTACCTTCAGAAACTAGTCGAGCTTACTGTATCTGTGAAATGTGTTACTGACTGCCCCTCGAAGTTGCTTTCCAGTTTATTACAAACTGACAATATAAAGAAGTAGTGTGTGCTGTCATCAGCATGCAGCTTAGATTTGCTGATACTCTTGATTTTTTTTCTTTTTCTTTTTTCTTTTTTTTTAATGTATATAGCTGTTCTGAACTGTGTAGATTTCCTTATTTTGTAGGTCAATTGGATATTAGGTGTTGCTCTTACTGGTGTTGCCTTCCCTGTTCTGACTACTGAGCTAATGGGTATCAACAGAAGAAAAACTAGTTCTGTTCATTCTCAGGTTTCCTTTGGAGAGTAGTAGAGACCTATGCTGTCAATACCTTACAGGCTATTCTGATGGTTTCCCATGTGGAAAATAAGGGGAAAGGATGTAAATGAGAGCACTACACTAATTTTTCCATGTCTTTGAAAATAATCAGGCAGACACCCACATGGTCTCCAGTGTAATTTATCTAAGAACAGAAGGAATTCATTAGAAACTGTGGTCTTGAGGGCCAGGAGACAGGGAGGGGAGGACTAAGAGGAACTCAGGCTTCCCTCTTTCTTTGTTTTGGTGATTATGTCCTTGTGTTCTTGAAGACCAGATGGGAGGAAAAAAAACCCCACCAAAACCAGCAAACCCCCTCAAAAAAATGGTTATTAGTATGACTGCTTTTTTCTTGACATGGCTTTTTTATGACATGACCTTTTTTATGACATGGCTTTTTTTTTCTTTTTGAGAACCGCTTCCTTGCCTCTTTTTTTCCCTTTTCCTTCTTCCCTTCCTTTATTTTTTTTCCTCCTCCTGTAGCCTTTTTTTTTTTCCCCTTCCTTCTCTGTTTGTAGTTGAAGTGGATGTGGAGATCCCTCACTGTTAGTGGCAAGGTCACTGAAAACTCTTCTGTCGCTTCCTTGGAGCAGCACTGTGCATTGCATGTGGATGGAGAGAGCAGGTTAGCTGCTTGGGGTAGTGCCTGCCGGGAGGGACAGCAGCTGGTCATGCCTAGTGAACCCCGAGAAGCTTGGGCAGTACGTCGAGTAGTCCATCTTGTCAGTCCTAGGTCTGGCTCTCGCATACATCCCCGTGAATCAGCATACTTTTCCATAGTTTACCTGGGCTATGATACCTCTCCAGGGTCTCGTGTATATTTTGAAAGCTGGTATAAAATAACCTTCCATGGGTTTGTGTTTCTTCTCTTAGGTCCATCCTGTTCTGTGTGCATTGTCTTTAATCACTGCCTTTGTTTCACTTAACCTCAGTCCTTGTTCTTTTCACAGGTGGCAATTTTCTTGTGTGTGTTCCATATCAAAGCGCTCTTATTAAAATGTCATTCTTTCTCTGCTATGAGATGATAATAACAGATGAAAGTATTAGCATAGTAACTTTATAGTATGATGGCAGTGAAAGGCTGTATGAAAATGGAGCTCTTGAAAGAGGGCAGGAAACAGAACACAGGATTGGATCCTCACACACCTAACACTGAAAAACAACCTTTCTCTTGAAAAGCAGGAAGATTTGCCTCCAGCAGCGGCATGTAAGAGGGGAATACTGGGCAAAGACCCACAAGGTGGTACTGGCCGACAGCACGTACAGAGGAATGATTTCTGATGCCAGTCAAGCATTGCAGGTTTCACACTGCATTGTGCAGAGCAACATAGCATCGATAATGCTCTCTTTCAGAAGAAACCAGTTTTAATTCTGCAGAGTTTCATGTGGTTTTCCTTTTGGTGGGGGGAGCTAACTTAACTCGTCGCCAGCAAAATCTCTTGCCTTGCAACTGTTGTTAATTTTGGTAGGAATAGAAGTAGTAAAGCCTGTGTATTGCCAGGCACTGTACAGAGACATAGCATGAGGTAGCGATGGCACTTTCTGATTGGGAGGGCAGGGAGGGAGGAGGGAGGAAAAAAAGATTGGGAGTGGAGAACAGAGCGGGAAAGTGGTTTGCCTAAAACCGTGAAGGTGGTTTATGGCTGAGCTGGGACCAAAGGTCAGTGTCTCATGACAAAGTGTGAAAGGAATAGCAAGTATAATCTGTTTTCGTGAAGACTGTGAAGGTACAGCAGCAGAGTGGTTAAAAACTTTTTTTTTCTCCCACCCCCCTAGGTTAAGTTATATTTTCTGACATTTGAAGAGTGAACAGCACCATGGCTCCATGAATTGCAAAACCACGGGAAGTGTGGCAGGCAGCTTTCCTTCCTTACTGTGACGTTTTTCTCAGGACCTTTGGTTTCATTCCCACTGGGTGCACGGTGGCCTGCCTTGGCATTAGAGCGGAGGAAGCAGTTTGTGCATCGGAGAGCGCCATGGCATTGAGCTTATATAGCTTTCGCCTCTTCTACAAGTTCAAAGTGTTGGTGGTTGTTACTTTGTGTTTGATGGTGCTATGGGCCACATTCAGTTACTTTGTGGACTCCAGACAGGAAATTTCTAAAGCTAAAGGCGTGATGGAGGATTTCAGAAAGGTAACTAGCCTGGAAGACAGTCAAAAGGAAGAGAGGACCGAATCAATTGTGGGAGTTCCCACGGAGAAGTCATTTCAGAGTCACTGCCCCGCTGTGTCTCCATACCTGCGTAAGTGATGATATTTTCCTCTCCTTTCTAACATGTTACATGTGCTTTGGTACTACTGACTTGGTTTTCTTCCTAGCAGTTTTACAATTAGACATTTTTGCTGTGAAACAAATACAACGCAACTAGTTGCAGTAAGCACTTCTGGATGAGGAAGCAACTTGTGGCACTGAGTGCCTGTGCTGAGTCTAGCTAGGATAGCAGCCTGTATGGTGCTGTGCTTTGGATTTGTGGCTAAACCAGCTTTGGTAATGCACCAGTGACTTTGCTACTGCTGAACAGTGTTTGCATGCTCTTCAGGCTTTGTCTCTCTCTTCCCTGGTCCCTAAAGTCTGGTAGAGTGGGGGTGGGGAAGAGGTTGGGAGTGGACATAGCCAGGACGGCTGACCCTGACTGAAGGGATATTCCATACCATGTGACCACACCGTTTATCATGCTCAGCAATAAAAGCTCAGGGAAGGGAGGAAGAGGGGGTGTTCATGGTTACAGTGTTTGTCTTCCCAACAACTGCTATACATGTTGAAGCCCTGCTTCCCAGGACAGGGCTAGACATCTGACTGCCAATAGGAAGTAATGATTGAATTTTGTCTTTTTGCCTTGCTCATGTGTGCAGCTTTTGCTTTTTTTTATTAAACTATCTTTATCTCAACCACAAGTCTTTTCACCTTTCCTCAATTTTTTGCCTTTTCATTATTAGATGTACTTTTGTCTCTGTCTTGACAATTGAAGGACTTCACAGCTGTGTTGGGGTTAGCACTACTTATGCTGAAGGTTCAAATAGGTGATTGTTTCCTTGCTTTGACCTTTTTTTATTGGTCCACTTTTTTTTGTCTTGGTATTGCTAGCAGCACCAGACATCTGCTTTGCAGTATCACGTCATTGTCATCTTTCTCTTCCTTTTTGTTAACCTGATTAGGGATTTATTTGGGAAGCTGGATTCTTCCCTCTTCCCTGACGTAGTCCAAAAAGATGCTGTCTAGCTGCACACCCCCACCCCTGCCCCAAGCCATATTTGCTTACAGAATGACAGAATGGTTGGGGTTAGAAGGGACTTCTAGAGATCATCCAGTCCAACCCCCCTGCCAAAGCAGGTTCACCTAGAGCAAGTTGTACAGGAACGCATCCAGGTGAGTTTTGAATATCTCCAGAGAAGGAGACCCCACAACCTCTCTGGGCAGCCTGTTCCACTGCTCTGTCACCCTCAAAGTACGGAAGTTCTTTCTCCTATTAAGATTAAAACTTCCTGAGTTTTGGTTTGTGTCTGTTGCCTCTTAACCTGCCGCTGGGCACCAATGAAAAGAGTCTGGCCCCATCCTCTTGACTCACCCTTAAGGTATTTATAAGTATTGATCAGATCCCCTCTCAGTCTTCTCTTCTCTCTCAGCCTTCCCTCATAAGGGAGATTCTCCAGTCCCCTTATCTTCGTTGCCCTCTGCAGGACTCTCTCCAGTAGTTCATTGTCTTTTTTGGACTGGGGAGCCCAGAACTGGACACAGCACTCCAGATTTGGCCTCCCCAGGGCAGAGCAGAGGGGGAGGATAACCTCCCTTAATCTGTTATCTGCACTCTTCCTAATGCACCCCAAGATACCATTGGCCTTCTTGGCCATGAGGGCACATTGCTGGCTCATGGTCAACTTGTTGTCCGCCAGGACTCCCAGGTCCTTCTCTGCCAAGCTGCTCTCCAGCAGGTCAACCCCCAGCCTCTACTGGTGCATGGGGTTATTCCTCCCTAGGTGCAGGATCCTACACTTGCCCTTGTTGAACTTCATTAGGTTCCTCTCTGCCCAACTTTCTCGCCTGTCCAGGTCTCGCTGAATGGCAGCGCAGCCTTCTGGTGTATCAGCCACTCTTCCCAGTTTTTTATCCCCCAGTTTTGTATCATCAGCAAACTTGCTGAGGGTACACTCCATTCCTTCATCCAGGTCATTGATGAATAAGTTAAGGCCAGACCTGGAAGTGACCCCTGCAGAACACCACCAGCTACAGGCCTCCAACAAGACTCTGTGCTGCTGATCACGACCCTCTGAGCTCTGCCATTCAGCCAGTTCTCAATCCACCTCACTGGCCACTCATCTAACCCAAACTCCCTCAGCTTACCTATGAGGATGTTATGGGAGACAGTGTCAAAAGCCTTGCTGAAGTCAAGGTACACGACATCCATGGCTCTCCCCTCATCTACCTAGCCAGTCATGCCATCGTAGAAGGCTATCAGATTGGTCAAGCATGACTTCCCCTTGGAGAATCCATGTTGACTATTCCTGATAACCTTCTTTTCCTCCCCCTACTTAGAGATGACATCCAGAATGAGCTGTTCCATCACTTTTCCAGAGATGGAGATGAGGCTGACTGGCCTATAGTTTCCTGGGTCCTTTTTCTTGCCCATTTTGAAGGCTGGAGTGCATTGGCTTTCCTCCAGTCCTCAGGCACCTTTCTTGTTCTCTAGTGCCTTTCAAAGATGATGGAGGGTGGCTCAACAATAACATCTGCCAGCTCCCTCAGCACTTGTGGGTGCATCCCGTTGGGGCCCATGGATTTGTGGGTGTCCAGTTTGCTTACATGATCTCTAACTTGATTCTCCTTGACCAAGGGAAAGCCTCCCTCTCTCCAGGCATTTTCTCTTACCTCCAGGGTCTGGGATTCCTGAGGGCCTGCCATAGCTGTAAAAACTGAAGCAAAGGAGGCATTCGGTAACTCTGCCTTCTCTGTATGCTCTGTCAACAGGGTACCCACCTCGTTCAACAGCAAGCCCACATTTGCCCTAGCCTCCTTTTGCTGCTGATGTACTTGTAGAAGCCCTTCTTGTCGTCTTTGGCATCCCTTGCCAGATTTAATTCCAAGTGGACCTTAGCCTTCCTCATCACATCCCTGCACACTCTGACAGTGTTCCTATGTTCCTCCCAAGTGTCCTGGCCCTTTTCCCACATTCCATAAACTTCCTTCTTCCATTTGAGTTTTGCCAGAAGTTCCTTGCTCATCCATGCAGGTCTCCTGCCCCCTTTGCTTGATTTCTTGCTCATAGGGATGCACAGATCTTGAGCTTGGAGGAAGTGGTGCTTGAATATTAACCAGCTCTCTTGAGCCCCCCTACCTTCCAGGGTCCTAATCCATGGGATCCCTCCAAGTAGGTCCCTGAAGAGGCCCAAGTTAACTCTCCCAAAGTCCAGGGTAGTAATCCTACTTATTGCCTTGCTTCTTCCACACAGGAGCCTGAACTCCGTGGTCACTGTGGCCAAGGCTGCCTCCAAACTTCACATCCCCAACCAGTCCCTCTTTGTTTGTTAGTACAAGGTCCAGCAGGGCACTTCTCTTTGTTGGCTCCGCCACCACCTGTGTCAAAAAGTTATCCTCAGTGCTCTGCAGGAACCTCTTGGACTGTGTGTCCCTGGCTGTGTTGTCTTTCCAGCAGATATCAGCGTGGTTGAAGTCCCCCATGAGAACCAGGGCCTGTGATCATGAGGCTGCTTTCAGCTGTCTGTAGAAGGCCTCATTGACTTCCTCATCCTGACCAGGTGGCCTGCAGTAAACTCCTACAACAGTGTCACCCATATTAGCCTGCCCCTTCATTCCTACCCATAAGCTCTCGACTCATTCTTCATCTGCCCCTAGGCAGAGATTGGTACATTCCAGTTGCTCCCTTACATAAAGAGGAACTCTACCACCTCACCTTCCTGGCCTGTCCTTCCTAAAAAGTACATAGCCATCTATGAATTTAGGAACAGGCTCCCCAGGGAGGTGGTGGACTCACTGTCCCTGGAGATGTTTGGAAAAACGTTTAGACGTGGTACTTCGAGACATGGTTTAGTGGGCATGGTGGCGTTGGGTATGTGGTTGGACTTGATGATCTTTGAGGTCTCTTCCAACCATAACGATTCTGTCATTCTATGATTCTATGACAGCATTCTAGTCATGTGAGCTATCCCACCATGTCTCCCTAACGGCAATAAGATCACAGCCCTGCAACATCACACAGATCTAATTCTTCCTGTTTATTCCCCATGCTGTGTGCATTGGTGTACAGGCATTTCAGAGAAGTAATCAAGCATGGAGGTTTCCCAGGGAGGTGGAGATGGATCCACCATATCCATACGTACCCTTGAGGTGGCTGGCCTTCTGGCTCTTATCTTGAGAGGCAGCTAAGGAACATTTGTCACTGTTCTGGTTGGCCTGGCTTATTTCCCAATTAGATGCTTGAGCACTGCCACTTTGGACCCCCCCCCCCTGAGTCTTTCAGTAAAGTAAACTTCAGTAAAGTCCTTCAGTCCTTAAGTAAACGCACAGCAGCTGTGGCAGTCACAGTTGCCTGCATTGTTCTTTCATGGGTTTGCTGAGTCCGAAGGGGCTAGAATGATAGCTCAGTGCAAGAGAAATGATGAAAATTTGTTTTGGCTACAGAAAGCCTTGGTACACTTTATCTGACAAATTTATAGCCTTAAGCCTGTGACGCTTTTTTGCATGCTTGAAGTAGAGTTGACTTCGCATGGCCACAGTCCTATGTGTCTTTCCACTTCCTTCTCCTCTTGTTTTGCCCAGGCAGCTATTTCTGGCCAATCCTCCTGCAGTAGGGTGGAAGTTCTCTTGATTTTTTTTTTTTAAATATATTTTTTTAATCATCACTACTCTATAATCAGTTCAAGCAACTAAATGCTCAATACCCTCTCCTTCCACTGCCCACATAATACCATTGTAGCACTACTTTCCTCTTGGAAAGGCAGGGAAAGCAGTTGAGGCTTGAACCTGGGTTTCTTATGCTGATTAGAGTGTGCCTCATTAGGTCACTGGACTAGCCACAACCAGCAACGACTCAGGAAAACTTCTTGTGCTTCTCCTACAGAAGGTGCCAGCAAACTCGCCTTCAAAGAATCTCTCACGCTAGAAGAAGTGGAAAAGGAGAACCCTCAGGTAGCCGAAGGCCGGTATCACCCTACAGAGTGCTCAGCATTGCAGCGTATGGCCATCCTCATCCCACACCGCAATCGAGAGAAGCATCTGCTGTACCTCCTGGAGCACCTCCATCCCTTCCTACAAAGGCAGCAGCTGGACTACGGCATCTACGTTATTCACCAGGTGAGACAACTGTGCGGACACATGTTTGGGTGGGGATGATGTCAGTGCTCTGCAGTCCGAGGAGAGGCATGCTGCCTCTTAACGTCTTAATGACATGCTGTCTAATATCAGTCCTCCAAGCCTGCTTCAAACACTTGTAACTGAGGGGTGCAGTGGTGCATGCAGCCTTTGCTGGTAGCACTACAGGATCTCAGCTACTGTTAGCAAAGCTGGGCAGTATTAACAAATAGTGTCTTTATCTGGTGTCTGTTTCTCAGTCTAAGTAACTTACTATTTCTGAGTTAGTGTTCAAGGTAAGCATTTTTTGCCTTACTAATGCAACTCAATTCTCTTGTAGTATACACATACATAACAAGGCTGACATGTTTTCTGTCTTTAAATTTGGAGTTGTTTGGATCGAAGGCCTCAGTTTGTATCTAGCTTTTCTCTCCCATCTGCTTGCTGGCTGTCATCCTTAGTAAGCTCTGTGTATCATGTGGGTGTACTTACTTCGGCTGTCTCAAACTAAACACAGCAGCTACTGCCTGTAGGTGCTTTACTTGCCCAGCAAGGGCCATGGGAAGAAGTAGTCATGGCAGAGCACTTGGTTCCTGAAAGACTTATCAGTTTCTTTATTTGCATTCTTTCTAACTCTGAGTCGGTGGCTAAAATTTGAACATGCAGATTTGTGCCACATTGTCTTTCTTCTAAGGTGCTTATGTTCTAGTCACATGAGTTAAAAGTAGTATAGATTTCTCTTTTATAATATGTTGTGTTTTTCTTGATCTTTTATTGTGTTTCCTTTCTTTTACTATCATTTACTTACATGTTCTGCTTTGAACAGATTTTCAGACAGCAGGAGAAAAAGGTGATGAATTAATATAGTTTCTCTTCTGTTTAAAGAGGCTAGGGTCAATTAACCAGTATGAGGCAGTGCATTCTAGGTGAAAGCTTACACTTTTGCTCAATGATACAGTAGAACGGCAAGAAAAGTCATGGCAGGATATGTACTTTCAGTTGGAATAGACTGTTCTTTCATTGTTTAGAGTCATCATGTGGCCCATAGAGTGGAAAAACTGAGGCTTTTTTCTGCATTAGTATGTACTGTAATTGTACACACAATGGCTCACTCCAGCTAGCAAGCAGTGGTTAGAAATAAATCTTTGGAAGAATGGGTGTATGTTCTTTATTTATTCAAATAAGTGAGGTGGAGAACAGCTGTTGTCATGTTAGCAGAAAGTAATACAGAAGTATGAAAGCTTTGTCTGATGTCAACAGCAATGTCGAGTCTGGACTTGTTCTATCAGAGCTTTTACTTAGAAGATTAGAAGCTTTTGCTTAGCCTTTCCATGTAGAGCGGTAAACCCAAAGACTGAAAAGTGAGTCTAACAAAACTCTTCTATGGTAAATCCATTTTCACTCCCCATTTGTGATGTCATTAGTTGTTTTGAGTATCTTTTGAGGGAAAAAAAAGTTCAAAACAGAATTTAACTATTAAAATACACAGAGTTTACTTTGGAGGAAGATTAGGAAATTGGCCTTTTGTATTTTTCTCTGTGAGCCATTGAAGGGCATGCTCCAGATCTCTTCTTTATGTGCTACTTGTAACATCTTGAAAATCGTGTTTCTCCGCACAAACTTGTGCATACATGAATGTAGTGCTGAAAAAAATGTGAGTTTGTAATCCCTAAAGGGTGAACAATTTCTTTCCCGACATAGGTTTGTCTTGTGGTCCGTGTTCTTCTCCCATAGAAACGAAGGACAATTCTCTCGTGGATTAAAAGATGAGAGTAAAGTTTGCTGTTTGTTCAGCATGTGGTCTAACATTGAAAACTGCCCTTGCTGGAAAGCAATTTTAGCTGTTGTTTGGCTACCTTTGTGCAGGAAGTGGGCTGTGGTGACTGACTGTACTGATGGGGGAGACAGTAGGTGGTGCTGCTGAACTGGGCTGGGTTTGATATTCAATACAGAGGAAGATCTCTGCATGTTCTTTACCAGTCATCTGAATTGTTCTGTTCACTCAATGACCGATGTTTTCATCATTAGGAGAAGATTATCTGACAGATATTTTCATATACAGGACACTTAAAAAGAAAAAAAGAAGAAAAAAACCCAAAACCAACCCCCCCCCACGAAAAACCCAAACCACTCAAATTTGACATCGTAGATTTTGAAGTGAATTGTATCTAAATTTTTCATGGAAAATTCCTTCCCTGACTGAGAATGGAAGCAACTGACTATCCCTCTCTTAATTTCTCAGAGTGGGCACTGGGCTGTATTTCCCTATCTGCAGGTGTGGAGCCATAGATCCCACAAATCTTAGTGCAGGAGCAGATGGCTGCCAGTGATGGTGAACAAATTGCCGCTTCAGAGAAAAGCGTTACTTTTTAGAACAAGAAAACATACTTTGTATACGACTTCTTTTC